TTCTTACTGAACAAAAAAAAAAATACAGAGTTTTTACTGATTGATTTCTTTTCCTTAAAAAGTCGTACAACCTGTTTGACAATTAAAAATACTGACGGTCTTAAAAAACTCGAAAGATTTTCCCTCTACAATATCGCACAGATATATAAGTATGTGTATTTATGCACATGTATAAAGGAATATGATGGATTGTGAACTTTATTGACAGGCCGCTCGCTGCGCAACGCATAAATCATGCCAAAATCTTTAGCAGTTAATTAGTGTGTGACGCATGGCTGGGTTGGGGGAAACAACTAGTTCTATATATACATACATACATATGTATATAGGGTGAATGAAAATCTTGTATCGTATATCGTTGTTGTTTACAACGCCCCAATGCAAATCAGCTGAACTGAAAATGGGGCAGAAAATTCCATTCCATTCCAATTGTTGCATATTTTATACAATCCGAAGAGAGGCAAAGAAAAAATAACTAAACCATTCGCCATTCGAACCCAATTCAAATACAATGCGATCTACACGGCTCACCCCTCCCCCCCCCCCCTCTGGGCTAAGTGTCGATTATTTTATTGATGGGCGGCGGTGCACGGTGGTGGGCGTGGCAATCGGCACTCGTCGTGTGAACGCATTGTGTGCCCGAGACTCTCAAGAGGTCTGCCAAAAATGGCCAGACCATCCAAAATCGTAACAATAATGATGACGAGCTTTTCCTCTTCTTCTTCAATATTTTATAGTTGCTGTTGTTGTTTCATTTGGCATATGGAAATAGAACAAAGCAAAGCAAATATTTTAGTGCTCTACTCTATTTGTTTTCGCATTTGGCTAGACTATGCAAATTTATATGAAATCTATTGTGTATACCCTGTAAAATTGAGAAGTGTGCAGTGTGTATATATGATTCATAACACTAGATAAATAAAACAAAATGTAAATTCAATTTATGCGTAAAGTGTTGCATAAAAATTATTGAACATCTGTCATAAATATCTGGTAGGATATTTGCTGAGTCGTTCATTTTGATATACACGCAATTCCATTTAATTATTTCTTGTATTTTTTTTTTGGTTGCTATTGCGCGTTATAAATTTTTAATTAAATTTGTTTTGGTCATGGAATTTTTCTACGAACCAAAGTCCAAGAGCTGCGAATAGACAGCAGGCAGCAGACAGCTCAGCTTCAATCGGGAGAGTGTTATATTATACTATATTATAATATATACAATGGGGTGTATACATATATATGCACATATATATCATATAACACACTCGACTTGTGACTTGCCATGACAACTTTTTTGTGCTATTTTTGGTCAACTAATTACGTGTCGCTTGCATTCAAGAATCTTGAAATTCAATTAAGTGTCGCAGTTAGACTCGGGCTGAATCTCTACACAGATATAGATATGTAACAGCTACGTAGACTTGCCATTAGCACAAGCGAGGTGTTTATATATAAATATATAAATATATATTCGTAAGTCTAGATTTAAATAATGTCCGAGAGTCTATCAATTGATTGCATACTTGAAGGCGTCCTAACGTGGGTTTTTTCTGATAAAAATCAATAAATCGCTGCCATTGACGAAGTCATGTGTGAAACGGATTTGTCTGCAAAATGAATTCGACTCATAATATAAGCATTAGTATGTACCATTGTATATCTGTATATATGTGCTTCTTATATTCATACTTATGTAGATGAGTCTAGCTTCCCCCGAGGTTCTGCGAAAAACGTCAAAGATATTTGATTAATACATGCGTAGCAAACTTTTTAGACTTCATTTAATTACACAATATTCAAATGAACTTCAATGGGCTCGTTAATTAATTTGTTTATAATTAATTTCAGCCGTTGCGAAGCTTCAAAAGCTAAAATTTTTATAATTGTTGAATTATAATTTATTTTGGAATTTATTAACTAAAATAATACAAATTATTATTCTATTTATATATTTCAAGGTTAGATAATATATATGTAGATACCTTCGGCTAAACATTTCAAGTCTCACCAACAAAATACTACAAAATCAGGAAATATTTGTTCCTGTTGTGTTTCCACACATTTTCATATTTTGCTATAAATGCTCAATCAAGCTGATAAAATTGCATATTTCTTATATATCTAGTAAATTTCTCTAGAACAAAAATATAAATATTTGATATAAAATTCTATTCTATTCAGATTAAATTTCCCAAATAAATGTGTTTTTAAGTTAAAATATAGTATAGTATTAAGTTATATATTATATAATGAATATAATATTTTGAATATTATAAAATATACATCATTTATAAGTTTCTATCTCATATCATATATCATTTTTATAATTACTAATTTTAGTTTTTAGATTCTCTCAGTCTGCCTTCTTAGCCTTCGCTATCTAAATCGAAGAATTTGTTTTTCTGGCTAATTAAGTTTTATGGCTTGAAACTACCTTAGATCTTAACAGTCCATAGTAACAACATCACATAGATCTAAATTTTACAATTTACAACATTTGCCCATAATTTAATGGCCGACATAAAAATGCTTGGCGACATTTGTGAAACTGTGGCAAACGGCCATAAAAAAGAACAAATTTATGTTACAAATGAAATTTCTGCTGCCTCTGGAGATCGTAGCACAGAGATAGAAAGCATTTCTCGAATTGTTTTGAGTTTGTCTATCTGTCTTTTTATATAAATATTTGTATTGTTCGCTTTATGTTGATATTTTAGTTGAATAGATACAATTAAATTGTCGCCTCCAACACTTTTCACTCGAGACACATTTGACAGTTTGTCAGAGAGTTTAACGTGAAAATGAAAAACAAGTCAATTTTCATGACGATGTGGTGTGAAGAGAAAAATAAATAAAACCGGAAGCAGGCAGCCACAATGAATAATGGAAAATTAGCCGCACTTTTTCTGCATATATACTTGCGTTGTCTCTCCCTCTCGCTCGCACATGCTGTTGCCGTCTCTTTTTCTGTTGATTAATTACTTGAATTTGACGTAAACACGTTTTAGCACAAATGAAGCAGAACGTAGATAAAACCTGGACTGGACTCTCTCTCTCTCTCTCCCTCTCTCTCTCTCTCTCTCTGTTGCTTTGCCTTAGTTTAGTGATTAATGAATTGATTGACAAGACGAAACAGCATTAGCTGGACTTATTGCTATTATCGGGCTAAACACTTGCTACTCGCTGCCATAAGCTGTCTATCCTTTGGGTTTCTCGATTCTCAAAAGTGCTTCCGGGCATTGGGAGTTCATTTTTGATCTACCATCGGTGGGGATAATAAGTTTTGACAGTCCGATTTGATTTGGGTACTGCTTAGTTTTTAATTTGGAATTAAATATCATTAGAAAAAGGAACACAATTGATTGTTAGCCGAAATTGTGGCTATAACTTCATTGTGTAAAATCTATTTGGAGGAAAAAAAAAACAAATTATGATTTTATTAAAATATTGAATGGTTCGTGTTTCATTTCAGATAGGATACAATATTTTACAATTTTTTGTTAACGATTAAAATATAAAATATAAAAAAAAAATTTGCTAGACCATTTAATTAATTTTTGTTTTAATTTAATAATTTTATTCCATTTAAATATAAACAAAAGTATTAAAATAAAAAATAAAATAAAATAAAAATTCAGCTTGTTTCATTAAATATATATTATTAATATTAATTAATATATATATTTTATTTAATAATTTTATTTCATCTAATATTATATTTTATTTATTTGTTAGTTTTAAAAATTAAAAGGATTCCCGATTTGTATTTGAATATAAAGACAATCCTAATGTGATGAAATGGCATGGCTTATATGCATGCAGCTGTACAATTTCAATATAAGCAGTGAGCATTCGTATTTCAAATAAGCAAAAATCAATAAGCGTCTGCACAATTTTTTCTTAATTTATCTTGTCCCGTTTACATTTGTTCTTTTCACCAATGTTGGTTTCGTTGGTTCGCATGCCAATGCGCCGTTAATATCTAAATTATTCTTCGTTTTTTTTTTTTACCCAAATTAAGTATATGAAAATAAATGCTTTTCGTTTTTTTTTCGGTTAAAGAATTGAAAGAACAAATTGTTTACTTTGATTTATGTTCATCGTACGCGTGTATGTGTGTGTAACTGTTTCTTCTGCTGCTGTTGTTGTTGTCTTTGTGTTGCCATTTTTTTGCGACGGTTTTGTGCAAACTAACCCATTTTTAACTTTGGAAAAACCAAACATTTGTATTTGCTCAACATTTAATGCTAAAATACATTTGCGCAAGTACAAAAGGCTTTTGTAAGGTGCCTCAGTGCCTTGCACACACCCGCAACAGAGCGGGTTTCTGGCTGGCTCTGTTCAGGGCTCTGTTTCACGCTGCATGTGCCAGTTTTGGAATGGAAATGCTAAAACCATTTTTCGATACACTCTCATAGAGTATATGAACTATATTGAATTATATTCGTATAGACTGCAGTATATGGAAACTGATATTTATGTGTGTATTCTTATTTATTTATATATAAGACAAATTTTAATTCTTTATATTTATTGGTTATATGTGAAGTAATAAACTTCATTTATAGTTGCTCTAATTTATTATCTAATTTTTTATTTATTAAAAAAAAAACTCCTTTTTTTTTTATTGTGATATATTTATTATTAATAAAATTTGATAATAATCAGTACTTATTAGTTAGATTTCCTATTTTCACACTAATTACAAAAGGCAGCTGACATTATTTGTTCATTTTATTTTAAATTTAAATATGTATATTATATTTTTTTAATTTTATTTTTAATTATTTAAACTTGGTAACGAGTATCACATCTCTCAGCTGACTCTTAGTGTATGAATAATTCGTTTAGCTGCACTTCAATTTTACCTCTCCTATTCGTATGTGTTGTGTTTTTTTTTCACGTTTGCGTTATCAGTAACAAAATTTAAACAGCTGCCGCGAACGCATTGCAAACAGTTAAAAACATTCAAATGCTATGCCATGTGCTGTTTTTTCAGTTTATTTCTTCTTCTGTTGTTGTATTTTATTTCTCAGTTGTATTTCGTAGTCCGTCAAGCATTCCAGACACGTAAACCCGAGCACACCTCCCGTCGTAATTTTGCTGACTTGTTGCTGCGCTTTTTGTATCTATTCGAAATGATGGTCTTGAGCCAACGGTATCCCCACCCACCCCCACTACGCTATGGATATGGCTATGGCTATGGCCGACCCCGACAGCGCTGATATGCAAAACATGTGCCCCTATATACACAGCCACACACGCACACACACACTCTACACGCCCTACACGCACACGCATGCATATAGATAGACCTTTCTTTCCCATTTTCATATCCATTTCCATTGCGATGGGCCTTTTCATGGTTCTTGAACGCACTTTGATAGCTCTCCGTACTTCTCGTGCTTCTTAATCATTCTTATTCTACCTCTGCTTCTTCTTCTTCTTCTGCATGGCTGTGCGCTATGCGGAAATACTTTGGTAACTGATAAGTTGGCTTCAGCTGAAGTCGGGGCTTTTGGATCGGCTGGAAATTGTTATGCGCCTGAGGTAATGGCCAATAAAAATGATCGTGGAGTTGTCTTCGTCGTCGCCGTCGTCGTTGTTGTCGTCTTTTGAGCGTGTCTTGTGCAATTTTAATGACTTTTAAAGTGCTTGAGCTTAGGGAGTTCTTAAACGCTGGACATATCCTGTTTGAACACAGAGTGTGAAGAAATAATTAACTTTAATTTGGCTATAAAAGAAAGCTTTGGAAATGTATGTAAAAAAAAAAAAAAAAAAAAAAAAAAAAAAAAAAAAAAACAGATTAGCTGAAGGTATAAAATTCTCTATCAGGAATCTAAAAAAAAAAAAGAAGCGAAACTTCAGTAAAGTAATAAATAAATTAGGTTAAAATATTGAAGATAGTTTTTGATCATACTCAGTTGTAGATGTTTATAAAATTTAAATTTACATTTTTATTATTCTAAGCTTGTGGATAAATAAGATATTTAAGTATATATGTATATGCATATAAATGAAAAATCCTTTTAAATATTTATAATTATATTTATAATTTTTTCAAATAAACCTTATACAGTAATTCTTCCTTTCCATAAAAATACTATTAAATTTTATGTACTTCTTTCTTTTTGGCCTTAAATATTTTGTCATAATTTAAATTTAAATTTTCCGAGTAAATCTTTATATTTGATATCTTTCTACTTTATCTGAATTATTCATTTATTATCAAGAATATTTATATATATATATTTCTCGTAGGTAGCCAACTCAGTTATATTCATAAATTTCTTGATTAACACTCAAAGATAAAATCTCGCATTATGAAATTTATCATATCTAATAAATTTGATAAGTTTATGTAAGCTGGCACGCATTTTCTACAATCCCAACGACGTCACGTGCTTTGCTTAAGCGACCCACCCAAAAGCTTCACAAAAATAAATAAATATCTCTCTATATATATAAGTATATATTTACGTGACATTTTTACCAATCATATTTAATCCGAAATAAAGTAAACAATTACTTATATAAGTAATTCGACAGAGCGGAAAAGACCTGTACCGTAAATTATGTGTAAATTATATACGGAATAATTTTTTTTTATTTTATTTAATTTTATTTTTTTCGTATACATTTGATAAATTGACTTTCAACCTGAGTTACGAGACATCCAGACACACATTGAAAGACCTTCATAACTTATTTTTTTAGCGATTCAACGGAGTCCACCTGTGAAAAACGTTTAGCTACAGTAAATTCTTATTGGAGTGCTTATTTGCTTTTACAACTCATATATAGTAATAATAATCATAATGAACAGAGCCAGATAAGCGTAAAGCTGTTTCCATTGTTGTTTATCAGGCACTTGAATTGTGTCGTAGGGATCGGTCGATGTTGTTTTATACTCAATCCCGAAACTGAAATGAGTATATTGGCTTTGCATATATATATATATATATATATATATATATATATTCCGATTGAGGGAAATAGATCTGGCAGCCTTTGGCGCGTGAATGAGTATTCTCCAGGCGATAACACCCGATTGCAAAGTTCTTGTTTTTTGCTTATGATTTCAAGAATTATACACCTAGTAAATGTCCACGAATAACTCATGCAGCAATTGTAATTTATGAATGTGAACATGCCGCAAGAGATATCTCAACTTTTACAGCTAGGGTTCGTATCATCAATGGTCTAGAGAACAGCTTAAAAATGCCAAACAAATCTTCAGCGACATTTGTCACACAACAATTTACATGAGCAATCGCTCGTAATGAGGTCAGTTTAAAATACATAAACTCTTTTTTTTTCCTCTTCACAAACAATAATAAAAATATACAAAAATAAAAAAAATATATATATACATATATAAAATGAGCGAAAATATTTTACTGTCGCGTACGCAAGAAAACGTACAACAATTTTTACAGCGACGCGCTGTGCCCCAAATAAGGAGCACAAACAACAACAATCAGTCATTAATAATGTTAAGTAAATAAGCGAAATTGTACAACAAATGGAATGCTATCTTTGTTAAAAGCCAGCACACTCAACACGCGCTTCATAATGTATCTCAAGTATGCTAAAGGTATAAAAAAAAAAAAAAAAAAAACTAACAAAGAAAAGAATGAGAGATAGATTTATGTACTCGAGTTTTTTATATAGTATATTCAGGTAAATATATAAAATATGGTCTTCATATTCAAAAATTATAGTTAATTTATATTTTTATTAAATCGTTAATTAATTATTTATTATTAAATTATTATTATTATAAGAAAGGTATATTCAGTAAATAAGTCACTTGACTGAACAGACATAAAAATATAAAGCTTTCTAAAATATTGGAAACAAAAATTGATATAAAAAAATAAAATCAATTAGAAATAATAATTTAAAAATCTTAGGAAAACCTAAAAATTCTAAATGAATTAGGAACTAAAATTTGATTAAAAAAAAAAAAAAAAAAAAAAAAAAAAAAAAAAAAAAAAAAAATTGAGTAGGATGAAAACAAAAATTGAATTAAAAAATTAAAATTTGTACTTCTTATCTTTGCTGCAAAAAAAAAAAAAAATCGTTTAACTGATGTTATAAAGATAAAACATGAAAACTATTTATCACAAAAAATGTAGTATTTAAATATACATTCGATAGGAGTTTGTTGCTTTAGAAAGATATGAGTATGTGTGGTTTAACATTTAGTATGCTTATCTCTGCCCTTAACTGTAACACACACTCACACATGCATACACGACATACCGATAAAGTAGCCAGAGAGTTTTCTTCAAGGAAAGCACACCTATACCATGACAATTACTTCGGCACACGCATGGAGTTAAGATCAAAGTTGAAGCTATTAGTTCCAAGTGAGTGGCTTCATGGATAACAATTACCAGTTACGATAAGCTACTATATAGATATACATATATGTATATGTATATGAAGTCGATGGATCTGTATTTCTGGAGCTGTGGGTACTGTTAATTAACACAGCACTTCATTAAATGGAATTCACTAAATTTTCACAAAGCCATGTTAATTAAAAGTGCCGTTTGTGGCATGGCTTCACCTCGCTCTACCTCTCATACGCCCTATCTCTTTCGCACTCATGTCATGTCTCTTGCCTTTTTGCGCTTGATATATATTTTACATGAGTCTGGTTCTTGTATGTCTCCTTATTGTCGACTCTACGTCGTCGCTTCAAATGTTGTTTGTGGCTTTACAATTTTATCAGTAACTAAAGAAGCAAACTGCATCGAGTGGCAGGCAAAACGTAAACAAAACGCATTTTGATAGTCCGCACACACACACACACACACATGCATAAACAGTTTGCCCTGCTCACTCACTCGCTCTCACTCTCCCCATAGCTGTCTGCGGCTGCTTGTCTGCCTGCCTCTTTGTGCGCCCTGTATTTATTTATTGCGTGTAAATTTCGGGAGTAAACAAATAGCCGAAGAAAAACGAAACGTAGAGAAATACTTAATAATATCGCAGCTTTGCTTATTTGTATTTCCGTGACTGGAGCGCATGACGAATTGACAAATTGTTTGATGCTCGCTCGAGTGAAAATGTTGGAATGTGCATTTCAGTTGCGTTTGGTTCGTTTATCATTTGAATCTTTTTTTTTTTTTTTTTTTTTTTTTGTTGCATAACGCAGAGCCACGCTACGCAGTAGCCGGCTCTGTTCTAGAGAGGGTAAAAGAAAAACTTCACTTAAGAGTTGTGTGAGAGCAAGTTCAGCTTACTCAATGCAAGCTTCAAATTTAGTTACTATACTCGCTCCTCAGCAGAAAGCGAGAGAGCCAGAAAGAGAGAGAGAGAGAGAGAGAGAGAGAGAGTCAGGCCAGATAGAGTGATTCAGTTATGCAATGCTCGCGCTGCGAAGAGCCGCACAAAACGCGCAAACGAAAAAGCAACGCTGGCTACCTGCGCGCCAAGCCTCCCTCTTTCGCCACGTCTCCCCCTATCACTGCGCTTGCTACATTACTGGCAATACTTCTACTTAAGCTTCTTTTGCTGGCTTTGTCTGCGCGCAAGATTCTGCAAATTTTACCGTTAGCTTAATGGCTAAATCACCGTTTAGAAACGCAAGAAGTTTTTGTTGTTGCTGTTGCGCTTTAGTGTGGCGCGATTTCAGCGAAAATTCTCATGTCGAAAACGTAATTATAGTATTTCTTATATTTTGCAGACGTGCTTAGATTTTAATTAAATTAAAATTACACTCAATTGCAGCGACGGTGAGCCTGGGAGCTAGTGTCAAAAGTTGGTTTTCTTGGTTTTGTGAGGATCAAGCCAAACGGGGGCAGGCTGGGGCATTGAGACTTGGGGATGTATGCGTTGTCTATAAAATACTCACAGTTATGTATGTATGTGTGTGCGTGTATGTTAACACAGTGGGTATATATTTAACAGGTAAAGCAATCTGTTCTGTTTTACAAAAAAGTAAGTTCGACATCTCTGGGAGAGAGAGAGAGAGAGAGAGTGTGTGTGTGTGTGTGTGTGCGTGTGTGCGTGGGAGTGAGTGTAAATTGATTTGTATTACTGCACTCAAACTGCGTTGAGCTTTAGACTGGCTAAGCTTACATATGTATTTGTGTATGACGCATACAATTGTGTTCATGAAAATAATGCAATTGAGCATTCTATACATAAATGTAGTAATGTAAATATATAAATATAAATAAGGTAATGTATATAAATTTGATATTAAAAATTCAATTTAGTTTTATACATATTAGGCCCACTGCTTCTAAGCCCCGTTTTAATTAAAATTATTCCGTTAAATGTTTGCAGCCTTTCATCATTATTAATTTTTCTTCAACTCCCTAAGAAACGCATTTTCCTGTAAATAAATCTAGTATTTTCGCAACAACTTGTTTATCGCTTGTCAACTGATAATCTTTCTGCAGAGCAGCCAAGCTGCAAATTGCGTGTTTTCTCATTGACTGCCACGCCCGCCACATAAGGAAAAATAATATATGGCGAGTTGGTTATATATTTTGTTCACAACTTTTCAGACACGAATGAAAACAATGCACTTGTTGTTGTTGTGCTTTGTTTTAATCAATCAAAAGCCAGGAAAAATATCAGAAATGCAATTTACACAGAACAAGAAAATATATAAACATACATATATGTATATTTATGTGACAGATATGAGATACATATGTATGTATGTGTATAGAATATGTATCTGAAGGCGCCCACTCCAAACGCAACGAATAGCAACAATTATAAACAATGAGAAGCAACAGTAACAGTAACAGCAGCAACTGCAGCAAATGCATTATTATTATCAGTAAAAACACATGACAAAAGAATGCCCAACTTGCTAGAGGGAGACAGCGGACATCGAAACCGACCGAGATAGCAATGGAGATTATGCTTCTGCTTTTGTGCCACGCGTACAGGAAATTATATAAAACATGTTTTGCTGCTCCGGGGCAGGGCAATGCAACGAGCAACGAGCGAACAGTTGGGTGATGGAGTGTTGGCAAAAGGGAATGTGATAGGGGGGGAGTGCCAAGGGGGAGCGCAGGGCGACACAGCCAAAGGCAAAAACAATAAGAGAAAACAAAACAAAACTGAAACAACAGTAAAATGCAATGCAGTTGCAGTTGTTGTGCGTGTGTGTGTGTGTGTGTGTGTGTGTGTGTGTGTGAGTGTGTTCGCAGTAAATGTTGTTGTTTATTTAAAGCGCAAATACAATAAAGCATTCTCTCAACTCTCTCCACCTCTTTTGCACTCTATCCATCTCTCTCTCTCTCTTTGCATTTGTGTGCGAAAAAAATATATATGAAGCCACCAAGAATGCAGCAGCAAAATAAAAAAAAGATGAAAAATAAATACGAAAATAACAAGAAGAATTTTTTGTTTTGTTGGGTGGTGGCTGCATTGAGTATACGACACGTTGGCAACAAGGGAAAAATAACTCTCTCGCACACTCACACACACACACACACACACACTCAGTCAGATACACATATGACAGCTGAATGCGTTGTCTCACATGCGGATTATACAGCTGATGAGCTTACGAGAGGAAAGGACAAGCAAAGCAGATAAAGAAAAAGCCTCAACAGCAGCTTCTCAAACTCAAAGCACATCAACACACACACAATATAAACCCTCACGCATACACAGAGCACATTAAGAGATCTCTATATGGCTATGGGCTTAAGCATTCGTAATTCTGCTGATTAAATACTGCAAGAAAATTTCTTAAGAGTAATTGAAAATTTTTTACTATTCTATAATTATATATATATTTTTTTTATTTATTGATAAAGTACATTTAATACATTACTATTTCATAGTAAAGTATGTTTTAATTGTTTATAGAATTTAATAATTATAAGTATACTTTTAAAATCTTGAATAAAATTAACAATTTTTTACCATTAGTGTTAAAATTAAAGTAAACTAAATAATTAAAAATAATATATTATTAAAAAAAAAAAATAAACAAGAATAATATATTTAAAAAAAAATATCATTTAAAAAAATAAAAAAAAAAGGAATTATAAGCACATTTAATATGATATGAGAAATGCAGCTATAAATAAATAAATAAAGTATTAATACATAATATGTACCAAAAATCCGCTTATTTTTACATAGCATAACATAACATACATAGCACAATATTGATTTAATATCATTTTAATATATTATATGATTTTTTTTTTTACATATATATTGGGTATGTTCCTTAAGAAAAATAAATCAAATCTGTCATACAAAAGAAAAGCCTAAGCTGCTCATCTATCTAATCTCTACGCTTTGTTTATCCTTCAGACAGATTTTTCTCGAAGCAGGATACCTAAAGCTCAGCTTGTTTTTTTCTATAATCCCATTTAGTATATCCTTGCCTTAGTCCATATTTCAACGGTTTTATATAACTTCACCTTTTTGGCTAAACACATCTAATTCGAATTAAGATTTGGTAGCTCTGTGAGAATGTCAAAATCATAAAATTTTTATCTTACCACTGTGCGTATTTGGAGCACTTAGACACATGCGATTTAAACCGTTAGCCCTTGCTAGCCGAAAAGAAAAACTTGCACTTTGCCAGCGGCAAGCACACAAAGGCCCCAACATAATGTTTGCCCCCGACGAACCTGAGAGCCCCTCCCGAACCTCTGCATAGAGCGAGAAAGAGAGAAATTCACACTTGGCGCCTTTTACTAATTTCGCTTGGTTTTATACGGTTTTGTTTTTTCCTCTTTTTTTTTTTTTTTGGGCATCTCTTGGTAGGGTATGAGGTGGAGAGGGGTGCTATGGGCTGAGCTGGGGTAGGCCATGTGAAAGAGTTGCGGGGCAGGGTCGAAGACGGCTCGACCCTAAGTGTTTCTTGTAACTTGAGTCTTCAAGTGGCCAGCTGGCATTTGCTTTTGCCAGTTTTTCTTGTTTTCCCGGGGCAAAATGCGACCAGAGTGTGTTTGTGTGTGTGTGTGTGCGCGCGTGTTTTTGTCGAGTGTGGCAACTTATGTCAAGCACAACAGCGTTTTTTTTTTAATAATATAATTTAAAAAAAACACAAAAAAAAAATTAAGAAAAGCAACAAAAAATTGTCATAAAAGTATTAAAAAGAACTGTAGGAAAATGTTAATAAAAATGTGTTTTTTGTTTCTCTCTTTGCAGTGTTTCATTTACGTTTTGGTAGCGCGTTTTTATGTGTAGCCCCCCACAGTTAGACATCAAATCAACGACGAGCAGCAACAACAACAACGATTGCAGCAACAACAACAGCAACGGGCACATCTAACGCTGCAGCTAACAGATGAGCCCCAACAACAGATGTCAATTGCTGCAGCCGAAAATGCAGGGTAAGTGTACAAAAAAAGAAGAAAACAAAATTGAGCAGGAGTAAATGAGACTTGAGCACAAAGAACTTGAGATAAAATAAAGAAAAACGAGTGCCATTAAGATGACTGAGCTGTTAAGTTGAAGTCACAAATGACAGATGTTGCAAGCCAACCAATTGGCTTGGGCAAGATTTGTGTTGTCGCTTGGGGCAGAAATAATTAAATATGGTGGAAAAGTTTAAATAAAATAGGGAACATATATTGAACAGGAGATTTGAATATTTTTCAAAACATACAAAATAATAAAAAAATTAAAAAAAAAATTTTTAATTTTAAATATAATAAATTATTTTAAATATATGTAATAAAATAAAACTTGAACAAGCCTAAATGCTTAAGACATTGACAAAGTCTTCACATTTGATTATCTGTTGACCGCTTCTAACGTAAAAACACAAAACCAAAATTTTTAATGATTTCTTATTCAAAATTGATAATTATCTAAATTGTACGTTGTATTTGACACACCAAATTTCTGGCATATTTTCGAAATGCCTTTTGGCTAATTTCGAGCCTTCTTCAATTTGTTATTTGTTAAGAAATTCCGATGCGAATTCGTCAACATTCTTAAAGCACTGGAGAAAACGCACGACATCACATGGTAAACGTTGCTCAGCGTCGTAATTAAGTAGCAGCTGCTGTAGCTGTAGCTATAGCTGTAGACTTACCTGGTCTAGACTTAGACAAAGCGAAATACAAAATACAATATGTATAGGCAAAAACCTAACTGTATATGCAGACAGGCACGAAAAAAGAAATGTGAAGTGGCAGACGATATATGGGCTCATGTGCGAGTCATTAGAAGCTCATTGAATATTGCGACATCACGCCTCAAAATCAGCAATCATTAATTGCACGTTCTTCACTCTGTCAATGTGTTTCGCACACACACACACATATGTGTGTGCACACGCGCATAGAGATACAAATGTAGCGACAAACTAAACGAAATACGCCAAATATAAATGTATCTTCCACTTAACTGGCCGTTGGCAACGGCGATGGCGACGTCAGGTCACGCAAAGTCTACGACACCTTGCCATCGAATTTAGCGAGAGAGAGAGAGTGAGAGAATGATAGAGAATGAGCAAGCGCGAAGAAAAAGGAGGAAGAGAGTGGCAACGTGGAGATTCAGTGCATTGTCTGTGACTCAATCTGAGGATACCCTAAAACACATGCAAAATGCTCAAGGGTGGAGTTGTTTTCCGACAATTTGTGTAACAAGCTGCGGAGGAAGAAGAAGGCAAATGCGTAGTCATAAAATATATAAACATAGCTCAAGGGGATACACTAAATTGAGTTAGCTAGTCCTAAGACATTTAACTATGGCCTTGTAAAAATAATAATAAAAAAATTAACTTCATTATCAAGACAACAACAAAAACTTCCATATATGATCATTAAGTTATTCTGGTCGATAATAAACCAACTTGGAGAAAACCAATAAATACGATCTTTAAATTAATATGGCTTCATACAAAATACAATTTTATTATGGAGCAAACGATAATTCACTCGGAAAAAGTTCTTGAGTTATTGCTTAGTTTCAGAAAAATATCAATTGTCTGTTTATAATAATAATAAAGGTAGTAGTAATGTTCAAGAAAATAATAATAATTGATTTTAATAATAATAACGATAATAGTAATTGCTTGGATGCCTTTGAGCATGATAGACTTGAGAATACTAATACTATTTACCAATAATGTAAACGTTAATATAACTCATCAATTGTTAATGCCAATAACAATGATTCAGAGAATGATAATCCTGAGAATAATAATAGTTATTCTCATTCAAAAATGTTAATCGTCATCATTGCAAATTATAATATTAATTATCATCATCATCATTGTAAATATTATTATTATTCATCATCATCTTTGAAGTCTATATTCCTCATGATTATTATTATAATTGAAACTCAAATAATAATATTCCTTATGATGATGAGTAGATATGGTAATATTACTCATCATTATTATGCTTGATAATTATGTTCCTCATTATTCTTATTCTAATTGAAACTTAGATGTTAATATTCATTATGATGATGAGTAAATATGGTAATATTACTCATTATCATCAGCATTGTAAATGATCATCTTTAAAATGTTGATCATGTTGATCATCAAGATAATAATAATCATCACGGCGTGAGTAAATATTATCAATAATATATATTGAATTGTTTAACAATATCATTCGCAATGATAATTGAGAGCATTGGTTAGAGCATCTCTTAGTTGGGCACTCCCTATCGGAGCTTACTCTTACTTATTCTCAAATATTTTTGCGCATATTTGGTCTTTGATTTATAGCTTCCAATTTGCTTCATTTCTGCTTTTTTCTTGGCTTTTTGTGGCATACTTCGGCATATTTCTATTGCCGCTCATAATTTCTCAAGTATGTTTTGGCATTTGGCGTTTCGCTTATTTGTTTCTCGCTGTTATTTTGCTGTGTTTTTTGTTTTTCGTCTTTTTGATTGAAATTGATTTTATGACTTTTTTATATATCGGTTAAACTGAGCGACGAGTGGAAATTTGTGGCGATTTTTTATGATTTGATTTGCACCAAATGCGCGTGTCTTTATATATTTAGATGGGCATTTATGGGTTTACTGTCAGCGTGGGAGCTATTTTAAATAGATAAAAATAACTAAATCATGTGATTGATTGAGTGCATTAAAATCGAACTTATTTTTGGTTTGAAGCGAGTAAATAAATAAAAATATTTTGGTTAAATTTGAAGCTTTTGAAAATTTGAAACAGATTAACTAAAGTCTTAGAGTAAATGAATGAAAACTACAAGCTATCCGTACATACATAAATAGACAGATTTATAGTTATGTAAATATGCAAAACTAACGTTCCACTCAATTTAGACTGTGTATATGTAGTATATATGAAATCCATTCAAATTTTATGCCACTTTCCCAGTTGCAGGCGAGCTGGCAACAGCATTTAATGACTAAATCAACGCAACGTCTGTACAACATTTTCACTGCATCATTTTCACTTTTCTTTGATGCGGCAACAGAAAACGAAAGTGAAATGAAAACGAAAGACGCTAAAGCTAAAGCGCGAGGTTTCAATCTATGCGCGAAAAAGCGAGAGGGCCACGTTGTTGGAGTGGGATGGACGTTACAGATAGAGTTACGAGTACAAACGGTTTTTGGATTTAGGCCTACAAAACACATTCACACTCACACTCACGCACACACACACACACACACAGACACACACACACAGCAGCAGCAGCACAGTGAAGCCTCTCTTGGCCACGCTGATGAGTTTGGCCTACTTTCACTTTCGTTTGGTTTCGTTTCGTTACCACTTTTTTTGTTGTTTTTTATTTCTAGCGCGCTAGGCTGTTTTTTTTTCGGGCCCAGCTCCAGCTTAGCCGGTTTTTCCAACCGCATAGACCCACTGACAATGAAATAAAGTTGTTTCATATTTCATGGCAAGTTGAAAAACTGAAACTGAAACTGAAAACGAAACCGAAACTATTTCAGAGGCAAAACTAACGGCTAAAAAAAAAAAGCCAACTTGGCATAGAAAAATGCCTGCAAATTACTCATCAACTGTAGACAAACCAAAAGCTTTGTGCGGCCAACAAAAACAAAAACAAAAAAAAAAATGAAAAGAAGATTTAGAGAAAAAGTAAATGAAAACCTAGTTTTGTTTGCGCATCTTTATCAATGGCAAAACAAGCTGAAGCTTTGTTGCACCCACGTAATAACATTGTTATAAATATATACATACATGTATATATATGTATGTTTATTCAATTTAATTTAGTAGCTCATATAAATCTATTTATTTATGGAATGCTTTGCTCTCCCACTTTCACTTTTGTCAATTGCAATTAGTGTGGCCAACAACGTCGACGTCGACTATATGAATAAAGTTTCTCATTTTAATTGCGCGCCTCTTGAACTGAGCCTACAACAAAAGCGAAAAGCTAAAAGCAAAAAGCAATTTAATTGCTATTTCGTTATTGTTGCTGTTGGTGTTGTTGGCGTTGTCAAATCGAGCAGCAACAACAGTGTTCAAAACTTTTAACTACTGAAGCTAAAAGTTCGACTTGTTACTTGACTTTTTGGCGCTTTTAGTTACTTTTATAGCCGGACTTCTCGCAACTGTTTTGCGGCTTTAATAACATTCTGTCTAATTGCGGCTAAAAACTTGCTAAATGCAAAGCTTAACAACTTAATCGATTGAGTTTGGCAAATATTATTTTTGCAGTTAGTTCTTTTGGCAGCTAAAGCCGTTTAGAAGTATTGGCATACGGCATGCTTAGTATCTTTATCAAAGTCTAATTGAAAACCCAAGGGACGATCTTTTGATACCAAAACAGAGTTCAGGATGCGTGCTAGACATTTGCTAGAATCAAAATATTGGGATTGCAACTATCACATGTAAAACATATAAGAATTTCACGATTTTTTAGTAGTCACTGCTTTGCAAAAAAAAAAAAATAAATAAATAAATAAAATTGAAAAATAAATAAATAAGTAAAATAAGATAAAATAAATTAATATAAAGAAAAAATAATAAAAATAAGAAAAGTAAAAAAATATTAATTTAAAAAAAATTAATTAAACTAACCAAATTAATTAATTAAATAAAAATAAATTAATTAAATTTAAAAAAGTATTTGTTTTTTCATAAGAAAAAAAATATTGGAAAAAAAAATCATTTTAGTTAATGATACTAAAATGATAAATGAAATCTGCCTGAAGGCTTTCGTTGCTCTGGCTTAAAACTTGTTATTTAGAATTAATTCTTTGTAACAATAAATAAATAAATAAATGAAATAGTAATACGAGAATAATAAATAAATATAAATTGAATGTAAATTATTTATTTATTTATTTATCTTGAAATTCGTTATAAATTGTAAACAAAATATTTTCTGCTCAGCCGCCCTAGTACTCCCATGAAAACAGAAGTGTCCAA